CTCATTTCAAAGAGGGGGCTGGGGAGTCTAATAATTTACCATAATTAACCCTGCCTGTACTTTGCTGGCAGATTTGAACACGATCTGTCCTAACAAAGGGTTAAAGACCAAGAAGCTTGGTTTCTTCCATTGTAATTAATGAGAGGAAACTCACTCTGTTCCCATGTTGCCTTGGGACAAACTCCCTTAGCAATTGTTCAGGGTAGCTTGCCATGTGCCCAAAAGCCTACTCCAAAGAAATTAATAAAATGGTAAGAAATAGCTTTTATTTGTAGGTGTGCTGTATAAATTGGAATACATAACAAATATATAGTAGAGTTTTCCAAGCTTGACTGCCCCAACTTATCTGGTGTGAACAAGCACTGATAAGTCAACTCTGCCCAGTCTGTTCTTCCCTTCAGTGTGCATGTTCCCTGTGAACACACTTGCATGCAGCACATGTAAATGGTACCTAGTTATGCCCCTCCCAGTCTAAGTGCTGCTGTGCTGGAGATTAGAGGAGTCTAATGCTAGTTACTTGTTGGTTGTGTGTAAAAATACATAATATTATTCTTGGAGGACTAGATGATGGCTCTTCATTGTGTTTATGCATTAATTTGAGTCTTACGTTAAAACCGTGTTAGTGAAAATTGATATTGTCCCATTATTTAGCTTGTAATTCCTCAACCTTACTATTCTCCTTGCTTGAGTCATAGGGCACAGCCTAGGTCATCTGGATTGGCACTTGCTGTACTATCGACTCCCAATTCCTAAAATTGAATATAATAGAGCCACGTGGTTGTCTACTTTCCCCTTGACTGCATGGCATGGTTATCTGACCCCTATGTTATGCCCTCTCTGGGGTTGGGAGACAGTGTGCGAGGTCCGGCCAGCAACTTCAGGTCATTTCTAACCCCTGACACTCAAGTTGAAGTGCCAGACTGAAAGAAAGAAAATATAATCATGGGGCAAATATAAATCTAGACCAGGACTAAACCCAAAAGCTAGGTAGCAATGCTCCTTAAAAATTACAAGTGCCTTCTAACTTCTGAGGTTTTCTCTCCCCTGGTCTACACAATTATAATAATTAAAGACTAAATATAAATATGTGTAATCGTGACTGGTTCTTTTTAAACCCTGACCAATAAGTGAAACTGCTTTGAAGGTAACCCTCGAAATGCTGGTGATCATTGTGATTTGATTAATGCAGCATTGTGATCAATATAAGGTATACGAGTATCTGGGGACACTAAGGATGGCCCTGTTCAGATTTTGCAATAGAGCTTTGCTGATTTTAGTTGTAATTATTAAAATCTGTATTATACAATGTCTGCAGATTTGGCATCCTTTAGCTCTAATCCTTTGCTGTCTATCCTTCTGTCTGGGAAGAATAGGATATTATTGGTCAAAGACAGAACACACAAACAAAGGCTATGATCGGCTGTGTTGTTTCACTGCATTTACCTGAATGGTATCCATGACAACATTGAGCAATAACATATGAAGAATGGATGAGGAGAAATCTTGGGTTGCTGTAAACTACTTAGATGCCTACCTTTTCTGCTTTCCATGCCTGGAACATGTTAGAATGACACGAATGGGCATTTCCTGAGTAGATTACAGTACTTACAGTAACATTCTCGGCCTAACTTCTGGACGTTCTGGGAAATTTATATTAACGTTTCAGATAATTACATTGGACAAGTACTGGACAAGTAGGCACACTACCAGATTTTTTTGCCTCCAATGGTAGCTTACAGAGAACATTAAACTGCAACATTCTTATAGAGACTTGTTCAACAGGTGAGTTTGCAGTTCTCAATTCAGGGGTGTGGACATTTTAAAAAAAAACTACTTTTCCAAAGACTAAAGTGGGGGCCCCAAACTACTTGTCCCTCATGACGAACTACTTGTCATGGTACAAATATTTTTTAACCATGCTAAGAAGCGCTTCTCATTGGTCATCATCATGGTCAGGTGACCGAAATGATCAATGAGTGCTTGCAATTTGTGAGTGTAATTCTAAATCCATACTCTGGGGCTGTGATGGATGGCAGTACGTATACCCATACCGGCGGAGGGGAGGAACCGCTCACCGAAAGGTAAGTATAACCGGCGGGGGAGAGAGGGGGCCAGATTTGAGCGGGTAATTCCATTTTCCCAAATTACTTGGGAAAGTGAACTTACACTTTAATGCACATTGTTCTGTTAGAGAGCACTGCTGCCCCGCTGCCACAATATGGCACACAGTGGAATGGGGACAGCGCTAAACGCACACACACAATGCTCTATGCGTGAGTACAGCGCTCCTGTCTCACTAATTACACAGAGCACATCGGACGTTCTCCGGTGTGCTCCCCACTCTTAATCCTGAAGCCATCTGCCAGGTCCCGGGTCCCCCGGAAGAGATGGGGACATTGAGAACCAAGGCAGGGAGGTGGATGGAGAAGTAGGCTGTTACAAATGATCTGGGTGGCTGTATAGCTGCCCAGACCACTTGTACAAAAGGATCGGTGGCTTCCCTGCTCTACATTTAGCATTGCTTGCCTCCAGCAGGGCTTAATGTGGAGAAAAAAACACGTGCCCGGTGCCCAGAGCTGCATGTAAATGCATAACACTTTCCCCTTTATTTTCACTTGAACTGCTGAAATTTGCAACAAAGTAGAGCAATAGGAATTGCACAAAGAAAAACAATTTGCATGATCAGCAAAATGGTTGTTGAGCTTTGCCAGTAAACAAAAAAGGTCCAAGAATTTCCAGTCAATATTCAATTTTTAGCTAATTTTTACACAGACTCCTATGTTCCTGCATTTCTGCAGTGCACCTCTCACTCCTGTGGACTAGTCGTCCTTATTGGCTTGAAAGCTCCTCAGAGCTTGAAGTCCTGGTGCTGTGCCAGACCAGTAGAATGTAATCTTTTCATGCAAATGTATGGAAAATCCAGGTTGACCCATGCAAAACATCAGGCTTACATGGAGGATAATGTTCCTACCTCTGATTTCTCAATTTTCATGTGCAGTCTCTAGCAATGGTTACAGTGGTTTCTAATTTTAGTGGTTTTTTTTGTGTGTGATGTGTAACAAAAGTGTTTTCATCCCGAGACTCCCCAGATGCCATAGAACTGTAAAAGCTGGTCACATAAACAGCGTTTTTCCAGAAAGGCAAATGTCCTATCTGCTGTAGGCTATGTAATTTGTTCAGCCAGACTTGTTACCCAGACACCCTGACAGACAGTGTAGGCAGATTGGCGACCTCACCTTTCTACACTGCCTTTAAACCCAACAGCTTGGTCACTGATTCGCCCCAGCCTATGAGTTAGACAATTGAGAAACAGCTGCTCATTGATAAGGTCATCACTCTGCTCTCTCCTCTTGTCAACAAGGTTTGCAGTGTTAAATTGACAGCACTGTATGTGATACAGCCTGATATTCTTGCAAAGCAAGGAATTATACGCACATAGTATAGGGACAGATGAGAAAACGTAAATTATTTGCAATTAAAATATGTTTATATTTTGTTAAGGAATTAACTTCTGGATTAAATGGTGATAATTTATATTTGCCCAGACTAAACTTTAAGGCCATTCACACCATATGCAGATCAGATCAAGACCGTTACGTTTTTCTCTCGCACCAAAAATGCATCCTAATGTATTTGTATGGGATTTTTGGGCCCTGTTCACACCAGTTCAGTCCTTCCGGTGCAGAGAAAAAAAAAACTGCATGTCACATTTTCTCTGCACTGGAACGCGCAAAAACGCCTCAAACTCACTGGACCGCACAAGAATGCAACAGAATGAATAAAAATAAAGGGGGGGCTTTGGATAAATAACACATATTACCTGTGAATAGACATACGAGTGAATGAAAAAAACTTTTCTGGATGTGCCCGCAAGTCCTCGTATAAAGTCCAACATTCTTAGCTTCAAGAGTGGGTGCACCACTCAACAGTGTCTCCTGCGAGCACGTTATCTCAGGATTGCAATAACCATCACAAAGAACATGCCTGCATACAAATAAAAACATGTCTTTTCACCAGGGTTCTCACACAAACAAAGGGAAGTGCTACGAAATGAAGCAGAAAGTAACCTCCGAGAATAATCTGTATAATGACAGCCCAAAAAAACCCAAAACACTGAAACTCACCGGAGCGCATCAAAAACGCTTTACAAATGCAGGGCACCATGTTTGCAGAGATGCGTGCAGATCTGGTCGGGACCCTTATGATTCTAACGCATGAGTCAAACCTTTTCTGTGATGGATATAGAACATGAGGTATACAGAATTGGCAGTCTAAACTGACTGTCACACCTAAGTTAAACAAGAAGTTACATTTCTCCACTATAACACACTACTTGTCAACTCCGCAAAATTCAATTTTTGTAAAGCCAATAAACATTTGCTTTGCAGACAAACAATTTTTCTTTAAAAGAAAAAAACACAAAACAGGGAAACTGTTTTTATTTTTACTTGTCCATGTTTTATTTCTGATATAGTGGGTTTTTTTGTTGGAAAGTTACTTGTATACTCTGCGGTCAAAGTCTTGAATGGCCTCTCTCAACCTTTCTGATGTGGGCACATGTGAATTTCTGACGGTGAAGGGACTTTGTATTCACAAATATTTTCTTTTATTTGCTTTCCTGTCATAAATTTTCCATTTTCTAAAATAGCTTACAACTCACTATTTAAATGTGGAGAAAAAAAAGACTAAGAGGGAATGGGAAAGGTCAAGGACGAATGAGGTTGGGACAGATATACACAGAGGAAGGAACGAAGGAAGGACAGATGGGCACAGTATATGGAATTGAAAGAACACTCCAGTCCAATGAAACATTTTTTTTTTAAAAGTACATTAAAAGTGAATAATAGGAAACGGCTTGTCTGGAAATAACGAATAGAAGAAAATGTAAAAAATATGATGAATGCAAAACATACCGCCTACCTTTAACTTCTTTTTCATTTACTTTCATTCAGATATGTCATTACCTTATTGTCTCACAAGACCATCTCTGTGTTTTCCAGGATGGAGGCCTCCTGCTTGGAGCTAGCACTAGAGGGTGAGCGCTTGTGCAAGGCCGGAGATTTCAAAGCTGGAGCCGCTTTCTTTGAAGCAGCTGTCCAGGTTGGGACTGAAGATCTAAAGACACTTAGTGCCATCTACAGTCAGCTGGGGAATGCATACTTCTACCTGAAGGAGTACTCTAAAGCTCTTGAGTATCATAAACATGACTTGACCCTGGCCAGGTGAGGGAATGATTTTGGCTAAACATGTTTCGGTAATATACAATGACCAATTACAAGGAGGCGAGTGAATAGAAACCACTAAAATACCATGAAGAACAGCATTGTCTTCTTAAAACTGGAAGGATTTCATCATTCTTTTAATGCAGAGCCCCAAAAGATGACCAATTAAAGTGCATGTATTTCGTTTTTTAGATAAAATAACCCTGCCAGGTTATTTTTGGAAAAAAATCCCTTTTACTTTCTGTGAAGGGAACTCCAATCATAGTTGTCCCCAGAACATTTGCCCCCACTGGAAATTGTCCCCTTACCTTTTGCCTAAAACTAAATTAAATGTTTTGCCTAGAAATACACCATGATAGTGTGTAAAACTGCAATGTATTTCTTGTCACTGTTTTCTGTCTCAATGTCCAACTGTCTATCCAGAGTCGCTGGTTTGTAATCACAATACAGCCCTAAATATAAAGCCATTTATCCAACTGTCCTTCCAGAATGGCTGGTATAGAACATAAATATAGAGCCATAATTTAACAGTTCAGACAGTTGTTTAAAGCCCAGATATAGGTTAAATATAGAAATATTTATCCAACTGTCCCTCCAGAACCACTGAATTGTGGCATAGATACAGCCAGACAATAGAGCAATCTTATCAAACTATCCATTCACACTCACTGGTTTATAGCACAGATACACCCTAACTATAGGGTAATTTATCCAACTGTCCCTCCGGAACCACTGAATTATGGCATAGACACAGCCAGACAATATAACAATTTTATCAAACTATCCATTCACACTCACTGGTTTATAGCACAGATCGGGCCTAAATATGGAGCCATTTATCTAACTGTCTATCCAAAACCACTGGTTTATATCTAGAATACATCTTAAATATAGAGTCATTTATCTAAGTGCCCATCCAAAACTGCAGGTGGATAGCTCAGATACAACAACATAATTATAGAGCTATTTATTCAACTTACCTATATTTATTTTAGGCTTGCTGGCTCTCGCTAGTTCAGATAAGACATAATGAGGGGAATTTATCAAAACTGGAGCAGACAAAATCTGGAGCAGCTGTGCACAGTGACCAATCAGCTTCTCTCTTTCATTTTCAAAGCTTAACTGAACAACTGAAGAGAGAAGCTGATTGGTTGCCCAGGGCAACTGCTCCATATTTTATCTGCTCCAGTTTTGATAAATTCCCCTTAATGACTTGCATGGAATCAGACATGGAACAGTTATATAATCATCCTACCTGTTCATATGCACCCAATTCTCCTAAAGGAAACATTTATACTGTTCTGATCTCAAATACAAGCATGCATTTCAGAGGCCGGCTTTCTTACAAAGTGATGTACAGTTTTGAAGAATACAATGTTGCAGATTATCTGGTATCATATTCAATGGGAAATAATTTAGTAGGAAATTCACAGGGCAAGTGAACAGTATACTTCCAAAGTACCATAGATTTCAGTACGGTAAACTGTACCTGTTTGTAGCTCACTGTAGAATTTTATGACCATATACAAATAAAGGAATAATGATCTTGATAAGTCTCATTGTTGCATGTTTTTTGGAATAGTATAGAATCCACTGTTACATTGTTGCAGGATTATAAATAATAGGCATAATCCCATTAAATTGTTGCATTTTATTTGACAATGAGTACAGTACATTGACGACAATTGCCATGAGTGCAGTATTATATCACATTTTCACTTTTCAGCAGTAACGTATCATGTCTTGTTGCTGTAGGTCCATCGGCGATCGTATTGGAGAAGCCAAAGCCAGCGGGAACCTGGGCAATACCCTTAAGGTCCTTGGACAGTATGATGAGGCCATCGCCTGTTGTCAGAGGCATCTAGATATCTCTCAGGAGCAGGGGGACAAGGTATAAAAACCTAGTGCAGGATGAAAGAACCCACCTGAAACCAATGTTCTACAATCTATTAAGCAGGAGCTAGTCTCACTTCTGCAGTCTTTTTAGGATTGTCCATTGCCCTGCTGCAATTTTCGTAATGTAAAACTGGAAGCATTACAGCTGTACTAAAGTTTTCAAATCCACTCCTATCATCATAATTGAAAGCAAATTTTAATTTAAGCTTGTGTGTGGGATTGTAGACTCTTCTACAATCTGTGCTCATAATCTATGCTCATATTTCAGTGAGTGTGGGTGAGGCTCTAGAAAGGCTTTTGCAGGCATGGATACTGGTGACTGTAGGGATTTAACCGACTGCGCAACCAGAAGCAGAAGTTTACTGCCCCATGGTACAGGTTACGTGCAAAATTACAAACACGGCTCAATTTTTCTCTCCTCCTGTGGCCTGCAGGTGGGAGAAGCACGAGCGCTGTATAATGCTGGCAATGTATTTCATGCAAAGGGGAAGCAGCTGTCGTGGAACATGCCACAGATTCCAGGAGACCTCTCTGAGGAAGTTAAGGAGACATTGCTGAATGCTACAGAGTATTATGAGTGAGTACTAAATATCTGACCAATGTTTGCCATTCACTGCCAGCCCTAAAAACTAATGCACTCTTTCTCTCACTATGGTAAGCAATCCACTGCTTAAAGGGTTAGGAGGGCCATGAGAGAAGCTTAGAAGACACTTGATGTGATCCATAAAATATTCCTAAGTCTGCTGCAGTTTTCAGAACCCTCTTAATTGTTAAAAGAAACCAGTGAGGATGACAACATGGAACATACCACAGCTGTGTCTGGTGCTGTTATCCTTATTCTGACTTCACTACCTAGTAAGTCACTGACATGGAACAAATATGCAGGACGGGAGTTCAGACTTTACTTGCTGCATATTTGTTCCAGGTCAATGACGAACTACGTAGTGAAGCACACATAAGGATTACAGATCCATACACCGTGTCTTAAAAATAAATTTTGGCAATGTTGCCATATTTCCCAGTTCCCGTATTTCAAATGTGTCCTTTAGGCTGGGTTCACACCTGAGCGTTCTAAATCGGCTTGTTTTTTAAGCCCGTTTTTAGCACGTTTTTTTGTTCCCTGAAACGCGCGTTCAACGCTCGTTTTTTAACCTCCCTGGCGGTATGATTTTTGGAAAAAAAAAATCCTTTTTTTCTCTCTTTTTTTTCTTTAAAAAAAAAAAACTTTATCTCCTTCCCGCCGGTTCCGCCCCCTGCAACGCGGACGCTAGCAAGGAACGGAACCGGAAGACGGCAGCGACCGGAGGACACAGCGGGGATCGCGGACAAGGTAAGACCTACGTTGTATTCCCGAGTGTGGCTCGGGGTTACCGCTTTGTTAACCCCGAGCCACACTCGGGAATACCAATGGATACGCGCTGAAATACGCCCCAAAGAAGCTCCTGTACTATTTCGAGCGTAAAGCGTTTTTCAGCGCGGCCAACTGCGCTGAAATACGCCCAGGTGGGAACCATGTCCATAGGGATTCATAGGATTTCACTGCTTGAGCGTTTTTCAGCTCTTCGATCAGCGCTGAAAAACACCCAGGTGTGAACCCAGCCTCAAAGTACAGCAGCGTAATTCTTTTCTATCTTCCAGAAGACATCTTATGCCCTGCTGGCTCTCAGTGAAGAATAGCAACAGGCTATGTAAATTCTTTCTCATTTACAGTGCACTAATACAGAGCACATTAATCAGATAAAGTATATGTTACAAGTTATTTTTAATTATATATATATTTATCTCTGACATGCTCTCATATGGTTTGCAGACAAAATGTTGTCATTTATACCCACTGCAGAAGAACTTACACTACACTGTTTACACCAGGGCCTCTCTTGTCTGGGTGTGAAATGATTGTTGTAGTTGATTGTAGTTGTGTTGTCTTCTGGTGACTCAGGAGCTGTCTATTGTCAGGTTGTGGTACGCAGTGCACTAGTGACCAGAAACTTAATAAAAATATTTTAAAAAATGTATCTGCCATAAACTGCTATCTGAATTACTGCCTGTAAACCATTTAATAGTGCCAGGTTTGCAGACATCTGCTGGTTAAGCAATTATGCTCATCCTTTTAAAGAGATTTCTGGGGTTCTTATTTGTTATTAGATGGTATTCCACAAATTTGGGTGTCTTCCTCATCTGTATGGAAATCATTATGCTAAAATAGACTACACATCCTTGTACAGGAAACATGCAGTTTTGGTATAGACTTCAGTGCAGTTGCTATTTTCATAATACCATTTGAATGCTTTTGTGAATTTTTTTTTGAAGTTGGTTATTTTAGGTGTCTCATATTCTTGCAAAGATATAATCATATTTTTTTTACATGGGTTCTCAGAGTTGTTGGTCTTTGTGTCACAGGAGGAACCTGGAACTGGTGAAACAGCTGGGTGACAGAGCAGCTCAGGGTCGGGCATATGGAAATCTCGGGAACACACACTACCTCTTAGGCAACTTTAATGAGGCCATCGCTTTTCACAAAGAGGTGGGTCAGTATGATGTACTGTTCATATAATGCACAGTGGATATAAGATGTATTTATATTTCTGATACTCATCATTTACCTGTCCTCTCTTTGGGATTAACTTCCTATGGATGGAGGTTGGGGATACATAAGCTGCTTTTTCATTCCCCATAAATGAATTATATCCTAATTTATGAAAGATGAAGTGTCATTACTGTGATGTCACTTCTTCCTCACCTAAAAGATTGACTTTTTAGAGGACTTCCACAAATCCTACAGCTTCTACCACTTTTATTTCTGCACCATGCACACTGCTGTATTGTGGGATATGATTGGCTATACAAATCTCCAAATTGTCCAATCACTACTTTCCCTCACAAGCTGGTCTGCTGGGGCTCCATAATGTATTGTTAAGGGGCACCTGATGCAACCAAATAAAGCTGGTTTGGGAGATTGTCACCCAGTGTCTATAAAAACCTTAAACATTAATGTAATTTGGTGTTCTAATCAAAAGCTGTGTTTTCCATTCAAACATATGCAGCTGCATTTGACCTGCTTTCCCTGCAATTCAGACAGACCTGTATAAGACATAGACTGCTTCCAAAAAGCGGAAGGCAAAGCAGGTCAAAAGCAGCCCCTGAACTGCCATGTGTACTACTTAATGTGCATTCCAAATGCACGTCAAATGCAGGAAAACATTGCAACATGAGCCTTGACATGGCCACACACTAGTAGCTTTCCGAAAGAAAGATCTTTCTTTCCCACCCGATAATGCCATCAGAGACTTGGCGGATTTCGAACAAAATTTTCTTTTATTTTAACATTTGATTTTGGAATGAATGGAGTTTCTCCAGCTTCACATTCACTGGTAGGATTTAGTTCGTTCGAGAAAAATTTTCCTTCAACTTTTTTTGTCACTATGGTGGAAATCGGTGATCGATTTGACCCCATCAACGAATAGAATCTTTTGTACGAAAGTTCTTTCGAAAATTGACTACTGTATGGCCCACCTTAAAGGAGAACTATGGGGTCAGTGTTTTTCCCCATAGTTCTCCTTAGGGCCCTCCTAAGCTCAGTATACCGCGAGCTATACTGAGGCGCCGCAGCCGGAACGGATCCCGACTTAGACGACGGGAATCGCCCAGCTGCGTGAGTGACAGCTGGCTCTGCCCAGTCAGCGCTGGAAGATCGGAGCGGGGAGAGGGGAATCCAGCCCCTCCCCCTGTCACGGCAGAGAGCCGTGACAGGATCGAGAGGTGAGCGAACCCGGTATGTGTTTGCTCACCTCCCGATCTACTGAGCCGACCTGTGACAGTCTCATTGTCACAAGTCGGCTAGAACTATGAGGTGAGTGAAAAGCACTCACCTCATAGTTCTCCTTTAAGTCTCCTAGACTGGTCACTGGGGGACTGAACTACTGACAGGTGGGGTCACCTCCCATCTGCCAGTAGTTCAGTCCGCCAATCTGTCATCCTCTCTCAAAGAAATCATACCTTGGGAACTACTAGAGCCAAGTATTTACAGACACACACACACACTTTGGTTACTATGTGAGATTCTTTCCCTTTATCTGCACACTTTTGCTAATGCTTTATGTGGGGAAAAAATATTTTTCTGTGGAATCTAAAGAATAATGCTACTTATGACAATAACACTTCCTGTTCTTTCTAGAGACTCGCCATCGCAAAAGAGTTTGGAGACAAAGCTGCAGAGCGTAGGGCATACAGCAACCTGGGCAATGCCCACATTTTTCTGGGGAGATTTGATGCCTCCACTGACTTTTACAAGTAAGTAAACTGAGCCCACTGCATCTCCTGCTTCTTCCCCCGAGGAACAGAATTGGGGAGAGGGGGGATTAAAGACCAGTACATTTATTGCATTTTATTTATTTACATAGTGCCAACACGTTTCCAAAAGCACTTCAAAGTGCATAGATCAAATAAACCAGTCCTTCTCCCCAAATAAACTTTACTGTGTTTTCCCTCTTAAACACACACTAGGGCCAGTTTGTTCAGATTGCATATAGCTAACCATGGATTTGGATTAAGCAGAGAGCTGCGCAAACATATATGTTTATATGTATAAACACCTATAGTGCCTATTTTCATAAAAAAAGATGGTGCTAGTGCACCATCTAGTGACCAGTAGTTTGCACTGTAGGAGTTGTATATCACATGTCATGAGAGAAAAAATACAGGAACTGTCATTACTGCCCTTCTCATGAAGATGCTGGTTGACTGGGTGTAATGCTAACACTCTAACAAGTATTCAGATCAGGAAAGATATATATAATTATCATTGTCATAGTTAGTATTTTCAGAAGTACAGCTCCACAGTGACAGCCTCCGTATTTCTCTTGTGACACCTTTTCTTCAAAGGGAATATATGATAAAGCAAAATGTCTGTCTCCTAATTCCTAAATATAGAGGCTTAATCTTTACTTAAAGCAAAATTGGTCATTAATTTTATTCAGAGAAATTTGCCACGCCTTACAGTATTAAATACAAAATATGCTCGGTATTAGGGGCTTTGAGAAGCGTCAGACATGGTTTGTGTTTGTAAAAAAAACTTAATTTATTCCATTAAAAAAACACATAATATTAAAAACAACATTCACAATATTATTATTATGGATTATACACCTTACAGTATGAAATTCACTGGAAAGACAGAAGGATAGCGATTTTTGCTCTTTTCTGCATATTTCTGTGGGAGATGAAGACAATCACATAAAGGAAACACAATGGGGGGAATTATCAAAACTGGAGCAGACAGAATCTGGAGCAACTGCCCATAGTAGCCAATGAGATTCTATCTTCAGTTGGTTCAGTTAAGCTTTGAAAATAAAAGATAGAAGCTGATTGGTTGCCATGGGCAACTGCTCCAGATTTAGTCTGCTCCAGTTTTGATACATTCCCCTCAAATAATTTAATAACAAATGATGGTTATGTAAGCAGCTTTGAAGATATTTGTACCCCTGGTGCTGAATCTGGTCATATAATTATAGAAAGAGTGTTGCTTGTAATTTTCTCCTGTTCTCGCAGAAGTTGGTAGAAGGAGGATAACCTTATGTTACTGGACTGCATCTGTCTCTTTCCTCAGGAAGACTTTGCAGCTCTCCAGACAGTTGAAGGACCAGGCGGTGGAGGCTCAGGCCTGTTATAGTCTGGGGAACACGTATACTTTGCTCCAGGACTATGAACGGGCCATAGAATACCACCTAAAACACCTCTCCATAGCACAGGAGCTGGGCGACCGGTAAGAGACCACACTTTACACATATCCTATCTTAGCTACTTATCTTTAAGCAGTGTTCGATTTTTAAACTATTGCAACTTTTGTTAAGATTCAATAGAAACTATACAATAGACATTATTTTTTATACACATCTCTATATTTCCACAGGGACACCTGCTGTTTCCCAAGTCCTCTGCCATTTCTAAAGGGTGCCTTACTGACTGGGAGGCTTGTAAAGCAGCAAAGACACAGCATTGCCATCTCAGGCAAAGCATTCTCACCTCTCACTACATGCTTCCAGCTTCTGTCTAACAGCTGTCAGTAGTGAATTAGAAGAATGCACAGGTGCAGCTAATATCATTTTATATGTGCTGATCCACAGTGTATAGCTGGCCATACACCTTACAATTATCTGCAGATTTTCTGTGGTCAGATGGAAAAGGTGCAACAGATTCCTCCATTTACACTTAACTGTGTGGATGGAGTAATCTGCACCTCGGCCAATCTGTTGCACTTTTTCCATCTGACCACAGAAAATCTGCAGATAATTGTAAGGTGTATGGGCACCTTTAAGGTGCCCATACACTTTACAACCCTCGCAAGACTTTTGTCTTGCGAGGGTTGTAAAGTACTTAAAAAAACATACGATCTGCCATCATGGACATGGACATGACGTACGAGAATCGTGCAGTGTATGGGCACCTTAAGATTTGAAAAGGTTTGCTACAGACCGAAACTTTTTTTTTGTTGGCTTTGGACAGAATGCAGAAAGGGTAAACCGTCTGTCACATTTTTATTTGCAGTTTGTGTCTCCATTTCCTTAATTATCTGTCAGGGCAACCGCTTTCTCCATCTCTTGTCCTGCTGTCATAGGGTGAGAAAGTGAGGTAAGATCACCAAGGTCAATAAAAGTTTCTTCTTATCTCGAGTCTTAAGGTGCCCATACACCTTACGATTATCGTACGATTTTCGTATGCGATCGACTTTTCGGCTGATAATCGTATGTGTGCATTGCAGTGTCCGAACAACAGTACTGTACAATCATACGACTTTTGACGGTCAAGCATGTTTGAAAACGTTGCTAGATCGTACGATTCTCGTAAGGTTGCTTGCGCTAACGAAAATACGGCAAATCAATTACCGCATTTCGTCCAGGTGCTTTTCGTTAATTACGGCTAAATTAATCTTGCGATCGACGGGGCTGCCGTACGAAAATTGTACGACTATTCGATCATCGGACGAAAAGTTTCGTCCGATAATCGTAAGGTGTGTGGGCACCTTTACACTCAATGAGGGGAATTTATCAAAACTGGAGCAGACAAAAACTGGAGCAGCTGGGCATGACAACCAATCAGCTTCTCTCTTCAGTTAGGATTTGAAAATAAGAGAGAAGCTGATTGGTTGTCATGCACAGCTGCTCCAGTTTTTGTCTGCTCCAGTCCTGATAAATTCCCCTCAATAGGTTTGGCTGACATTGAACAAGTTACAACTTTGGTGAGAGGGCTTTTAGAAATCAGAGAGGATGAAGGGATTAATGGAGATGTACTGTAGATACTGAAAAGTCAGTACTCTTCTTGAGGAATATGTCGCTAGTCTGCATGTGATGTTTTCTGACTATGGTATCACTGCATCATCCTCATAGAGGGTAATAGGATTGTTGGGGAGTAAGTCAGCTGTGTGTACAAATATGTCACTCTCGATGTCTAGACTTTTTCTCCAAATAACTCTTGATATTATGTTTCTTTTATTATGTCTATGCAATCATAGTTTATCGGCGCTGATGATACAGATACGAGAGCTCAACACAAGAGGGAGCTCTATGACCAGGCAGAATGCAGTGTTGGAGCACAGTTAGCCATTTCTAATAATACAGTGCAAATGAGGATTTGCCATTAACCCACAGCACACTTGCTTTTGTTCACTTGAATTTTGCCCAGTGCCATTTGCCCTAATTGTAAATAAGCCCAAATTAGCACAATGGATTTTGCTACCAGGTGGCTCCACAATTGTCCACATGTTTTTAGAAGAGCCACCCTTTCTCCATGAGACGTTAGATAGCGTCAGATAAACATTTTTTGTCTGGCTCCAGCAAAATAATTTAGCTTCAGGCTTCCTCCAAGGCTGACTAATGTGTACAGCTGCAATTCAAAAACATTTTTTTACATAGTAGCAGAGGTAATATGTTTGGGGATGGAAATAATAAATGCCATTTCAGTAGCAACTGGCACTTTTTTAGGAATTAGGCATAATGTCATATGGAAGCAACAATAAACTGAAAAAATAAAACTGTAAACAAAATCGATAAACTGAAATTTTAAAATAATATCTCAATGTTGTAATAAAAAAAGTCATTTTGGGTCTTTATAGAAATTCCAAATTGTGATAACGTCCAAATATATCTCCGGTTCTTTGGCTTCCGCAATCCATTCGACCCACCTCCCACCCCCAACACACACTCCTTGAGACCATTGGTGCTTTACTGATTAAGGGTCTGGGACTTGGTTTGTTATTCTCACAGACTCATGTTCCCCTTTTTACTGTTTTTTTTTTATTTATTAATTCTTTATTAATTTTCACAACCTTTTTACTGTTGATCCCGATTGCTAGAATCCCTGTAGATCCCGATTGCTAACATCCTCCCGGGATGGACCATGGACCACCGTAATTTTTTTCCTGGTGGACCGTTAATCATTTATCCCATGTTCACCACTTCCTCACCTCCCACCAGGGCCGTCACACCATTTTCCAAAAGTCCTGGGAGAACATCCTCTGTGGAATACTTCAAATATTTTCAAATCAAACACCAGATTTCCACACTTTTCCTCTCTCCTATGTCTTTAGTTGTAATAGGGACTTTAATTATTTGAATGCCTCACTTAGTACAGAGGACTGGGAGAAGATCTGGTCTAGACTACCCAAATGTTCTTCAACACAACCACTTTGGAGTCTGCCTACAAAGTAACCCTACGATGGTACTGTGTACGCTCGGGAATCGCAAAGACAATTCCATCCTATAGTGAGAGATGTGTCAGGGGTTGTGGCCAACGGGGGATGCTCTATGCACTTGGTATTATTCAAGATTGACCTCCCTTTTGCTTTAGAGTACTTTGCCTCCTTCAAGCTCTATTCCATGTTACTGTTAGGAGGGACCCAAGGTTAGCAGCTCTCCTGCATCACACTGTAGCAGAAACTGGCCACCTTCTTATTTTTAGCCGCCAAATATATTACAGCTAGAGCCTGAAAAAAGCCTAGCATTTACTTAGTGGTAGAAAGGAAAGCCTGTTTAATGCATGGGTATCTCAAATAAAATTAGAATTCTGAACCACAAAAATATGTGGGAGTTTAGTCAGAATTCTGATATATTATCTGATAGTTCTGATGAGGAGTTTGATAGCTGTACCAAAATCAGCAACTCCATGTAGCTCCAAAATATCTGTTTTATTCTTCAGCTTCAAGACACAAAATGAATGCCAGGTGTACAGGTCCATCATGGATATATGTTCAAACCCTATAATGAGAATTCTGCTATATTTTTTTGCTTTGAGACATTCCACTTCTGACTCCTTGTATCCGAGCACTGAGAAATCCCGGAGTTATTATCCCAGAGTTTAATTTATGTATATATTTTTGGGGGGATCCAGGGATCCAATTCACAGGTGATTAAGATTGGGGAAATCTGACTGTACCTGAAGTGTGTCTAAAGCAAAAAATAAAATAGGGATTGTGTAAGCCAAGCAATTTCTACATAGAATGAGCCATAGCTGATCTCTAATTTCCTAGAAGTGAACAGAAGAGGATCCATCAAAATATTTCATTACACCATATTTACTTCTTGCAGTTCCAGAATTCTCTGGGGTAATCCATTGCACTTTTTACACTGAGTGAACATATTACACATCCGATTGATGATGTATATGGTACTTTTATAATAAGCTTATTTTTCTGGGTGAATTTCAGACTTTTACTTAGCAAATTGTAACGAATACTGATCTAAAATAAGATGTTGAACACAAATGCCCGATTTCTCATACATCACACACTACAGTGGTGACTGTACAAACGAAGGCCACAAGTCAAAGCTGCCCAGGCTCATCTCCAAACACTGCACAGAAAGGGCTCCCAGCTTTGCCTCCAGGGACCCTAAACATTAGAGCTAGCTGTACATGTGGCAATGTGATCCCCAATGTCACAGGGATCTTTGACCTCCCTGCAGTACCGCAAGCTTTGCCATCACTACTAATTTTGAGATTTAGACATAAATATGTTTTCATGTCTTGGGAGCAGCACAAAACTATGAAATGTTGTCTGCTAGCACAAAAATATCAGAGAGGACTAATGGTATACAGATGTAAAAAAATGTAAAAAGGTTTCTAATGTCCTCCAAATTATGTGTAAAAGTACTCATTACTGTACAAATAATGAGATTAGTCTGTGAATGTCCATTTAGGCACTGTGTTAAAACAATGTGGTTATCCAACATGCAGGAAAAGCATGCTAGCTATTCTCTCCTCTTTTATTTTTAGGGTTGGTGAAGGACGGGCATCTTGGAGTCTAGGGAATGCCTACGTGGCATTGGGTAACCATGAAGAAGCCCTGCGATATGCCAGGAAACACATGGAGATTTCCTGTGAGGTGAGAGGAGAAAGCGGGTTCCCAGAGCTTGACACACTGGCACTAATCATACTTGTTACAATCTGATAAAACAATCTTCTACCAACAACTACCTGAGTGCTTACAAATGGAGTAGACTGCTTAGGTAGGCTCTAACAGTACATGGTTTTGGTAAATTTGAAGGAGAGTATACATTACAATCAGACTGTAATGTATGTGGCCAGGTTTATGGTCCCAGAACAATGACACATTGACATTTAAGAGTCCCAGAAGAGTGACACACAGACACTGGGAGTTCCCAGAACAATGACATGTTAACACTTGGGCTCTCAGGACATTGACACCCTGAGACTTGGGGATCCCAGCACAATAATTTATTGGCAATTGTGGAACCGAGAAAATTGACATTCTGACACTTTCCCAAATAAATTCACATTGACACTTGGGGTTCCCAGAACAATGACAATCTGACACTTGGGGGTCCAAAGAACAAAGCACTGACACTTGGGGGGTTCCAGAACAATGACACTTGGGGGGTCCCTGGATGATGATGCGCTGACACTTGGAGGTCCCAGAACAATCGCACGCTGCCACTTGGGCTCCCAGAACAATGATTCTCTGGCGCTTGTTCCAGAACAATGACACACTGACGCTTGGACTCCCAAAACATTTGCACAGACACATAGGGGTACCCCAACAGTCACATGGACACCTGCGGGACCCAGAACAATGACGCAGTGAGACTGGGGTGATTCAGAACAATGATGCACTTGGGGGATCTAGAATAATGACACAGTTACATTTAGGGCCTACCCTGATGAGTTTGACAAGTTACTCTTCTGAGTGGTGATAGCCCAACACTAATGAATTACTAGTGTTATTAATTACGAAGTCATTAAGCATTCCCTGAGTATACCAGCTGCTCCATCTTCAGGAACTCTGTTACATAATGTCCTTTTAGGGACTTTTGGCAGAATCATAACTTCCTCTTGTTTGTTTTCTCTAATCATTGCAAAGTCTGGAGCTAAGGAGGGACATGATGTCTGACTAACAACCCAGTTAATTAACACTGTGATGCAAACAGTTACACAGGCAACAGTGGATGCTCTGTGGACATAAATTTGGGATCAGTATACCTTTAAATCCATCAGTCAGTTCTTTACAGGCAGTCTTCTACAAAGGCCAGTTATGGTACCTGTTCAGGAGAGATCAATTTAAAAAGCGGCCACATTGGACATATACTGTAATTTTCCCTTCCAGTGCTCAGAATAACTAATTCATTTCTCTGGCCCTAAGTGTTTATGTGTTCAGTGTCCAAAATATCTCCCCAATGCCAATCTAATTACATGCTTAAAGAGGAACTTTACCCATATCTTTAAAATAACAGCAAAGGCACCTTTAGAAATGTTTAGTAATGGCAATCTACAAACAGATTACTTCTAGATAATTGCCGGCTTCGTATTCTTTGCACGCCGTATTTCTCTTTTCTTCCTCAGTCTTCTGACAGTGGCCATTTTTACTAAGGTCAGATTAATATAGCTCCCTTCCTGGAACTCTGGCACATGTGACTATGCACATCATCTCAGGGGAGGAAAATGCCTTTCCCTGAGATCTCGTGAGATTTCCTAGCAATGCTCTACTAATATAACCTTCACAGGATGCAACGCTTGAGCACATTACATCATTTGTGCCAAAGTAGGCCAGAAAGTGAATAAACTCTATTTGTAAGTAAATTAATGACATGTTTAACTAATGAATGTAATATGATTTTAAATCAGCATGCAGAGCTGTGATTTTAAGTGAAGGGGTAAAGGTCCACTTTTATTTGTGCATGCTTTTCCAGTTCATTATCTTTAAGCACGCTCTTATTGGAGGTTTCAGGAAGAGCCTTAAGTAATAGTTTTTCAAACTAACTTTTGTACAAAAAATCTAATTGATGCTTTAAATAATGCCATCAGAGACTTGCAGAATATAATTGAAGATGTTGTCTGTTTAACATTCGATTGTGGAATGAATGGAGTTTCCCGAACGAAAACCACATTGCCTGTTAAATTCCTAAACTTTTCAATGCAAGGACCTAAATAATAAAATTGTTCATGTACTGAGATCGAAGAAGAGAATTATTGCCAAAATGTCAGCAAAGCCAAACAAAGACAAATGACAGTGGCCGTATAACACATTGCAGGCACTCTTCTCCATTCCTGTGAGCTTTAGTAAAGCTGAGAGAAATACTGTAAATTCTTTGTTATTTTTTCTTTTGAAATTTTAACTAGGGTTAAAAATAGGATCTCTTCACCTCACAACCTTTGTAATTGCCCCCACCTTCCACCTCCCTGGCTCTCTAATAGGGATGCTGTTCCATCTTCACCGATACTGAGTATTTGGGTGAGTACTCCTACTCGCCCAAATGCTCCGATACTTACCCCCGATACCGGAACTTCCAGTCAGAGGGAGATTTCCTCTGACCTGCAGTACCGTGAGGGAACATGGAGGCGGCTTCCTGGCCAATCAGGAAGCCGGGCAGCGGGTAATAACCTAAATCATAGCACAAAAAAATAACATTTAGTGATACAATGTCTACTTTTTAACATGCATGGCTACCTGTAACTAAACCAACAGCTGACATTTAATTTCGAGGAACACCTGTGCCGTTAAATGGCTTTATTCCTTATGCAGAATATTTTTAAATGTTTTTGTGAGGCCACAAAGCACAGAAAGGGCCCCAATATCTCAACAAGGCAAAAAGTAATACGCTGCGCTTTAAAATGGTATTAATTAAGTCAATTATTGAACAGTACTTTGGGACAGTATGTTATTCTGTTCCTGCACAAGTAAGAACATCTTTTTAGAGCAGGGCACGAGGGAAGAAATCTAAGGTGACTTTACAAATGAGGATAGTGTTTGTGTCACATTTTGAAAGACTGAAGTTTTAATTGAGCACTGATGTCTGTTACAGATTGGGGACCGAAATGGGGAATTAACAGCCCGCATGAATATAACACAGCTAATGTCTGCTCTTGGGATAGGGTCCAGCGAAGATGATGGTGATGGGGCGCAGTATGATGGGTACAAAGCCCAAGGTAGGTGGATTTTTGTAAACATTTTTTAATACATTTTGTTTTTACTATGTCTTTCAAAAAATATTTACCCTTTCTTTGTACAATATAAGAAAGTACAAAGTAATGAGTTCAGTGTAATATGTTTTTTTCTTTGGTTAAGATGACCATGTGTGGGAAGTTTTTTTGCATTTTCAGTTGACAATGATCTGGCCACAGCAGGTTGTATATAAGTCCTGAACACTGGTATTTAATGCAATACAGCGCACATGTACATGTTGCAGTATGCCTGCATGTGTGGTATGCCCCTGAGGATGGATAGTAATGTACAAAGATGCACCTAAGATGTTGTGATATGTATGTTTTAATGCATGCAGACAGAAATTGTGAACATGGTCTCATTCCTGAATTTCAGTTTGTGTAATGGTGGCCTTACATTGTACGATTTTTGCTCAAAATTCTTCATTTCTGGCACGAACCCTTGTTCAATTATACCTAGACTTCCCCATCAAGCATAGTCAAACATTGATTTCGGAAATCGTTCTTTAGCCATACCAACCAACCAATTTTTGACGTACGACGACAGAATTAATTTCTTTTTGCTTATGTGTTGTGTTCTTGCAGATATTTTTGACAAACTAAAACTCCACTAATTCATAGATTTTCACTCGATGGAACGAAAAACTTCAATCACAATATCAAAAACGAAAATCGTAGCGTAGTGTACCATCAACTGTTTGATCTCCGTTCGAAGAAACATTTGTGGGCACCTTAAGTCTTTGCAAAAGTCTATTAAATATATAGCAAACTTTGCAGTCCACGTTTTTGTGTTCTACTTACAGTGAGTGTGGGTTGTAGAAGTTGGAGTCCATATCTTGGGCTCCGTTTACACCTAGGCATTAGCGTTTTTGTGCATATTCATGTGCGTTTTGTTTTAGCGGTCTGTTTAGCGTGTTTTATTGAGTAGATTGAAATGCACTGTGGTGAATAAATTACCATGTGTAGAAACGCACACAGAAAAGTGCAAACCGCTTGGGTTGCGCATTTCAAGGAGTTTCCATTGAAGTCTATGCAGCCTAATGCGCTGTAATCTGCCAAAAAAAAGCCCATGTACTTTTTCCAGTTGTGGTGACAACTCTCAGGTGTGAACAGGGGCCATAGCAATGAATGGGATTTCTTGTGTTGAGTGGTTTGCCGCACTTAGCTGTGAGAGTCAAAATGTCCAGGTGTGAACAAAGGACTTATACTTGTGAGCTGTTTTCACTATACAAAATAAACACTTTCATTATTTTGTGGGAGTGGGCAGACACGATGGGGGGAATTTATCAATACTGGAACAGGCAAAATGTGGAGCAGATTTGCACTGCAGCCAATCAGCTTCTCTCTCTCATTTCCTGAATCTTATGTGAGCAAAATGAAGAGAGAAGCTGATTGGCTGCAGTGCAAATCTGCTCCACATTTTGTCTGCTCCAGTTTTGATAAATCCCCCCCACAGACTACTGCAAGGAAATCTTGCCCTGGAGTCTCTGAGAATAATATTGAACTACCGTATATACTCGAGTATAAGCCGTCCCGAATATAAGCCGAGGTACCTAATTTTACCTCGGGGTCATCTGGCAGTCTCCGGCCACCTAAATTAGGACCCGGAGACTGCCAGATGACCCCGCTCGGAGCGCCGCCCACCGGAGCAGCAGTGACGCGACGCTTAGCGAGGTAAGTAAGAAGAAATGACGCTGACTCGAGTATAAGCCGAGGGGGGGCACTTTTCAGCAAAAAAATGGGCTGAAAATCTCGGCTTATACTCGAGTATATACGGTATCAATATTGGGTGTCGTTGCCCTTTAAGTCAGATTTGTCCTCGTTCATGTATAGTTTATTCAGATGTTTTTTTTCCCTGTGTGCCTGCTCTTCCTCCTCTGCAGAAAAACCTGCTGTGTGTTGACACAAAGTATTGATTTTTAAGGTGTAGCTTAGTAAACATTTGTAGAAGTACCTTCCAACTTTCTACAATGCGGATTTAGGTTACTGAGTTAGACATAAAACTAAGTTGACTTGGGGAAACGAATGGAACGTTTCTGGTGCTCATTAAGACATGCCCAAAAAAAGACCACATGATCACGGCATATGATACATACAAATAAGAGACATATGAGATGTATTAGCACAATAAACTTCACATGAATCTAATTTGATTGGCACGTCACAATGCATCAAGTCAGCTTTGCCTGCTTTGTTCTCATTCCTCTAAGGCCTCATTCACACGAGAAACGGCCAGTGCGTACAGCTCCTTGCTGCATGCACGGCCGTATCGGGCAGCTCCCAGGATGGACAGGTGCTGCGTGTGATTAGTACGCAGCCCCTGTCCTTCTCTATGGGACTACACAGTCATACGCTGCCCTATGCTCACCCTCCTGCACGTCCGTACAGGTGCGGCGGTCCCGGATTGGACGGAGACAGGATCCATCCTGTCAGCGTACGAGTATGGACACCCGCACGGACGTACAGGGCTGGTGAGCCTAGGGCGGCGTACGGCCGCGTAGTCCCATAGAGAAGGACAGGGGCTGCGTACTAATCACACGCAGCACCTGTCCTTCCCGGGAGCTGCCCGATACTTCCGCACGGAGCTGTACGTGCCGGCCTTTTCTCGTGTGAATGAGGCCTAACAGTCAGGCATGTGCAGAAAAGTTTTTAAACATTACTATATTTGTGTGTTTGCTCCTCTTTAGCACATCATGGATTAAAGTGACATTAAACCCTCAGATTTTTTAACATAAAACAATACTGTAATGTGTGCCTTACTGTAATTCATGGTTGTTTCCCTTCTCTTTGCTGCTCTTCCTTTTAAATCTGTATCTGTTCTCATGCTGGTCAGAACTGTTTTGCAGCAGACTGCCTTGTCTCAGGAATGGATATATGGTGTCTGTGTATAGGTTTGTAACCTGAGCCAGCACTACAGGAAGAGGCCCTGAGCTGCAAAGGGAAGTTCTCCCCAAGCATGAGAAGACATGAGGATTTAAAAGGAAGAGCAGCAAAGAGAAGGGAAACTACCATGGATTACAGTAAGGCACACATTACAGTATTGGTTTATGTTAAATAATCTGAGGGTTAAATGTCACTTTAAGGCTCAGCTCCCATAATGCAGTGTAATGACTCACCGCCCAGCTTCCTGATTGGTCGGGAAGCTGGCCAATCAGGAAGCCACGTGGGGAGTCATTACCCGCACCCCAGCTTCCTGATTGACCAGAAAGCCGGCTCCATGCACCTGGTGACGAGGGAGCATGGAGCCGGTTTCCAGTCCAATCAGGAAGCCAGGCGGCGTGTAATGAATTGGCGTCGGGCTTCCTGATTTGTTGGAAAGCTGGCCAATCAGGAAGCCGGACGGGGAGTCATTACATGCCGCCTGGCTTCCTTAATGGGACTCACGGTATTGGAATACAAAATTGGCACATACCAGAAAAAAAACATTGGTACTCGTACTTGATACCGAAAAACTAGTATCGGTGCATCCCTAATAATAATAATTAGGCTAAACAATTCCACAAATATTAAACATACTAAACTCCAAATTGCAGATAAACGGCTACAATAACAGTTAGTAGATCTAGATGTAGTGTTTTACCTACTAAGGCTCCATTCACACATAACGTTTTGAATTCAGCACTTTTTTTGCAGGGAAAAACGTGCAGTCGTACACTCGCACAAAAACGTTTGTTTTTCAGCACATTTGCGGCTACAACCAAAGCCTTTTGGGGACAGAATGCCCAAAAGACAGTCACCGCTCCCTGCAGGGAGATGATCGGAAAGTGAGTGAGCGACGATATGTGTTCGCTCACTTCCGGATCAATAGAGCCGACCTGTTACAGCTTCTTTGTTACAGGTCGGCTCTAACTATGAGGATGAGTGGAAATCACTCAACTCATAGTTCTTCTTTAAGCCTTACAATTACTTCAGTTCCCCTTTAATTGCATAATATACCTATCTCACCATAACTACACAGATGCATGTATTATACTCAGAAGAAGCATAAGAACATAATACTAAATAATGCAAACTATTTTACTCTAATGCAAATATCAGGATGCCACTTTCAAGATGAAAATAGTATATGAAAATAGTGTATATGGACTGTCCCATGAATTAATAATGTCAACTAGATGCAATAAATCATCCACCTTTTTATTCATTCTGCTCTTGTATTATCTAGTGCAAATAAGTCCTTTTATTTGATTTGACTCAATCTATATTATTTTTGATACGTTTTTCTCAATTTCATGGGCATTACAGGAGCCTTTGCTATTACATAAACCGTGTATTTATAGAGGAGTGCTCATCCTAAGGTCATCCCCTGCTCCAATTTAAGTGCTTCCTATTTTAGAATGATAAGGAGGGGCCAATGAAAAGTCAGGGTCCAGTGCCTCATGTGACCAAGCTAAGTGACACAGCATTTCCTTCTTTAGGTTTTGATAGAAGCCACTGTCTTCCTATACATTTTTGTGTAGCTAATGCCTGCTTTTCTTAGTATCCTCTTTGCCATACTTTTCTAAGGCTGTAATTATTCAAATGATTACAGTTTTAGTCTTCATTCGCACTTGGGTTTTAGTCCTCCTATATGCAGAGGCAAATCTGTCAGGCTAAATGTTGTGTTTATGCTTCTAGATGCTTTAAATGACGCATGTTTAAATGCATCTGGTACCAAATCCTAGCATCAAAATGTGTTTTCATGTGTTTACAAGTTCAAATTGGTTCCCAGATGCATCTGACTTCTATTTTTTTTAAACGCAGACAAACTGATAGCAGATAAACACATATAGATGCAAGTAGTGAATGTACCCACTGGAATTCATCAAATACATATATATGCACTGACAAAAGGTTTTTAAATGCATATAAAAGCATCTAATCGCACATAATGTAAATGAAGCCTTAAAAAAGAACTATGGGGTAAACTTGTTATCCCATAGTTCTCTTAAGGGTCACGGGAGGACATATACCAACATCCTC